CGCACGGAACTACCCCCCCCCCCACACCCCTTCCCCAACCTATCTATGATAAGTTTTAATTAAAACGGTAGTGCCTAGGGGGGGGGGAGGCGCCGCCTACTACTACTACTACTACTAGTACTACTACTATTGTCCTATTATTGTTATTCTTATTCTTGTTATTATTCTTATTTGTAGGCCTCAGATATCCCTGAAATTCCCAGACCGGCTCCATTTATGAGAAACCCCCAGGTCTCTGTGCTCCTGGACATGGCAATTCCGGCCAGGATTGGGAGCCCGGCTCCCCCGTTGCAGAGATTGACATCTGCACGGACCTGTGTAGGGTTTAGGGCCTATACGATGTAAACGGATTTACGGCTAAGGCTTCGGGGTTGAGAGTTTAAGGAGAAGGGTTCAGAGTTTAAGGACTACAGGGATCTATTTTAGAGGGCCTTGGTATGTCTCAGGGGTCAAGGAAGCCAAGGAATGTACTGACTCAGGGTTAGAATGTGGTCACACCGGGGCTATTCAGAGGACAAAGGATACTTCCTATAGCCAGAGTCCCCGTAAATTTCCGCAAATGAAATTATTTGGAGGTCTGGGTATAAACTGTGCGGGCGTACCTGTTTCTACCATGATGCGTACCATAAGGACTCCGAACAAGTGACTCCTCACGTTTGGACACCCCCCAAATTAGCATGCAAGGACTCCGTGGCAGGAGTCGTGCTGCATCAGGACGCATCAGGGACTTAAGCAGGTGGCCATTCATGTATCATCTATAGAAACTTGTCACAAACTTTCACTTTCAACATGTTATTCGGAGGATCTCGCGAACCTCAAGTTGTCAAAGCAGGACCTTGAAAACCCAGAACACATAGCCAAACCTTAGACCCTAAATCCCAGACAAGCCTTAAACCCTAAACCTCAAAGCCGAAATTCAAAGCAGCGCTCATTGGTGCTCAAATTAAGGGGTGTAAAGCTGCTTATAATAATACCCGCATTCACTTCCTCACTCCCCCCCCTTTTAGCACCAATAAGTCTGACTCACTATTTTGGGCTCCTGAAGCTCCAAAATTACTCTGCTTCAGCAGGATTCTTCCAATTTGGTTCCGTTGTACGTATGTATATATATATATATATGTATATAAACAGTATCATAGGTATAGGTTTTTTGTTTTGGGGGCCTTTACAATCCTGTATTCCATTGCAAAGGTGCCCACTCATTCTCGATTAAAATCAACAACAACAACAAGCACAAGTGTGCTCATTGTTCTGACTGAACTGCCACACGAAAATGTCTCAAATGCCTGGCCGCCCTATTTGTGCCCCGAACATGATAGAGCCCTCAACCCTAAGCCATTAAAACTTTAAGCCAAATTCCCCCCCCCCAAACTCTCTAGACCTAAGGCTCTAAAACCATAAGAACTAAAACTTGAAACCGATGGAGACCTGGATCTGGGGACTGCAAAGAAGGCCTTGTCACAAGTCAAACGCGCGAAGCGCTCAAAGCCCTACATGCTTCGCAGCTCAGAAGCATTCAGTGGCTTACTGGCACTAAGGGATGATTGGGGGAACGGATGTAATGATCCCTATGTACTCCCCTACAACATTGCCTATAATTCCCCCGTTCACTTTACTGTAAGCACCAGTAAGGAGAGGGTGGCAGTGGACAGGGAGAGGCGGGATGGGGTCAGGGTTCAACTAGAAGAGCGCAGTAACAAAGCAGGACCCTGCTGCTACTACTACTACTACTATTACTATTACTACTATCTCTATCACTATTACGATTACTATAGCTACTATTCTTACTAAAGCTACCATTATCATAACTTTTTCGTGGGCCCTTCGAAGGACACTCATACGAACGCCACCAACATCCTGAAGGAATCCTGCATGCCCTCACTGAAGCTGTACCTCATGCAGGGTTGTACAGGCTTTAAGGTGGAACGAACAGCAAACAAGTGTTTTAAGCACATGCATCCCCTGCCTGTTTGTCTTCAGTCTTCTGAAATGGAACCTTCACCTTTCCTTGCACCAAGCAGGCTGTTACCCTGTAGCTATTCTATACTTGGAGGGATGCTGGAGCAAGGTCATATATCATGGCCCACTGTATCCCGTCCAGGCATTCCTAGCAGGTTCCGAAACACCTATAGAAACCCGGGATCTCAGGGGGCTGTGCCTCAACCAGCTTGGCCAGGGCCTCCAGCGGCGCGCCAAAGCACGCAGCAGAAGTGAGAGGTGAAATCCACAGTGGGGCCACGCGCATGTTCACCTCAACACTGGCTTGCTCTTGAACCTGACGTGAAGGACCCTCCTTTGGAGAAGAGTTTGTCAAGTGTAGCCCATTGCAGGCCTAGGGTTTCGGATATCTTGCTTAGGTTAATGGGCAAGTGCTTTGAGCAACTCCCGGCAGCTTTCAGGAACTCTCCTAGCAGCATCCTTTCGCAAGAGTTTCTGAGGTAAACGCAAAGCCATCTGGAGGGTCTTTCCTACTTGAACTCCTTACAAGGATCTGACGCAAAACGAACTTGACTGCAATGGCCCACAGGGTTAGGGCGTTCCGCGCTTTGAGTGTCGCAACCTTGGACAATCGAAATTCAAAATTCGGATCTTCACCACCTACTTTTGAGATCCTGGAGGTAGACAATGATTTATATCCCCATAAGGACACAATTTTGAAACTGCAGTCAATCATTCCCTGATGCCTTACTAACCCCGGGACACTGAACGGACTGTACCTCAGGTGATCCCCCCAACCGCTGATAGCGTTATGGTTACAGCAGGAAAAAGCGCGACCCTGATATACTTATCATTATCCCCTGTGTTCACTTTAGTGCAGGGGCACCTGAAGCGAAAACCTGAAACCCTAAATCACCCCCCAAACCCTGAACCCCAAGTCACTTGAAGGATCATGCTTACTTATGTCAATTGGCGTCAGCCCGATGCGCAATGAGAAGCTCCACCCCCTCCACGCTGGTAATGTAAGACCTCAGCATGTGCCCAGAACATCCATGAACCCTTAGGAGCAGGCTCGAAAATATGTTTTAAACAATTTAGTGTAATCAAGCGGTTTGGAAGTCGTGCCAGGAGCCTCACCCAGAAAAGACACACAGCTGCGTACTTACTTTCTCAGGTCGCCCGCAACCTGTCCGTGTTGACACCCATCAAGAAAACACATGGGAACCTGAATCCAGAGGTACCCTAGAGACTCTGGGGGTATCCTCCTCAAGGAGATACAAGGATGCTGCTGGAAATCCATCCGTCTGTAAAGGGGTGTCTCTCCGTCACCTTAGTTTCTCTTTATCACCTCATTTCTCTCATTGCCACATTGAAAGGGGGTGGTTTTCACTGATGTTTGCGCGCGGGTTTTTGCAACTGTCGCTTCCTCCTTGCGCAATGTGGAAAGTGCGCAGGTTTCACCTTCTGTCCACATCTGTCTTCACCCTGTCACTTCATTCCACTTTTTGCAAGATGAAAGTACGCAAAGTGAAACAAGGTGGTTCTAGCACATGTCTGTACCCGTCTCTCTCTCTCTCTCTCTCCTGTCATGTCTTTCTACTTATTGTAAGGTGAAAAGGGGATGTTTTGAACATGTGCAAGTAAATCGTCTTCTTCCTTGTACCTGGCTGTCCATCCCTCACTTCATCATCACAAGCGTAGAAAGTGGCCCACCTGTCTGTGCATGGTGTTTCCCTCTGTCACTTCACTTTCCTTTATCCTCTCATTTTCTCACTGCCAGATGAAAAAGGGGGTGGCTCCAAACATGAAAAGGATATGGGTTTAAGCTATGTGTTTTCCTACAATTTTTTCTGACTCACGGTCTTTTTCCTGGCTTGTAGGTCGTTCCCGACTCGAGCCTTTCATTTAGGTTTTCCTGACTGGTGCTCCTCTGTCTTTCCTGACTCTTGTCTTTGTCCTGACGCTTGCCTTTTCTTTTTCCTGACTCGTGCCTTTGCTTTTCCTGATTCGTGCATTTCCTGACTCGTGCTTCCCACGAGTAGCCCTCACACAATCCCCAATGATACAATAGTGTCCATTCCAGTTCCCAGTCCACTCCTGCAGGGACAGCGACAGTGGAGGGCGACTCTGTCCGAAGCAGGCGTTAGGGTCCGCCCGCAATCGCAAGAGCTCCTGCAAGTCAGGTTTCAGGTTTAGAGTCCTACGGTCTAGGAGGATCTGAAGCCTAAGGGTTGGGGTTCAGTGTTGAGGACTTAGTCTAGAGTCCAGAGCAGAGCATCCAAATGAGGAGGTACTGGGGGGCTAAGAGGGTTGCGAAAAGCCTCTACCCTGCTGCTTGTATTCGGGGTAACTCACGCAAGCAAGATACGGACACGAGCTATGACCATCCGTTTCTCTTTGATACCTCGTGCAAGGAAAAGGCCGGGGCGTGCCTTCTGAACATCTGCCCGCACCCAGAATTACATGGAAGCCACCATGCGCCTATTGTCCTTTCAATAGGGGGCTTTTAGGGAATTCATGGGGTTCCATGTTACTTTCCGGGAGGGCCTGTCGGCCAAGCTCGCATGCAGAGATCATGTCCTCGAGCCCAAATGGCTCGAATGCAAGGGTTGACTCATGAGCACGCGAAGAGGCTGTTCTACACCAGGAAAAAATAGAATAAAACCTATGTATGTAAATCCGAAACCCAATCCCCAAACCCTTATCCCCAAACCCCAAACCCAAAGCTCCTCAATTGCCGGCCCGGCCCGCGGCCCGCGCCGCACTGCAAGGTGAAGTGGAGTCAGGCCTGACTCTATGTCGCCTCGGAGAGTTTAGGGATTACAGTCTGGTATAGGTAGTAAGTACGTGTGGTAGGAGTAAGCAATGTCGTAGTAACAGGAGTCAAACACAAGAGTAGGAGGTGTCTTTCTGTTGTCAGTGGTAGGAGTAGGAGAAGTGTAGGGGTAGGAGCAGGAGTAGTAAAAGGGGTGGCAGAAGCAGTTCCCGTAAATGTTGCCACATCGCAGAACGAGTTACTTCAAAAACTAAACTCCAAAAATGAAAAAAGGTAACATGTTGGGACGATGTGTTCAAACCACCATTTGGGTCGTGGTCAGGTGGGGCCACTAGAATTTGCCCAGTGATATAAGTATAGGAGTACGAGTGCTGGCCTCTGTGTTGTAGACAGTAGGACTAGGAGAAGGTTGTTGTTGCTTGCTGCTCGTGCTGCTGTTCGTGTTCTTGGAACCAGTCTCTGCCAGAGAACTCTGAACCAGCAGCCTGACAACAGATATGTGGCATTCAAGCTTTGTTGAACTCTGGCAGTTGTAAGAGAAGTGAAGGAGGCCATGTACTAATAAGATTTGAACGAAGGCTCAGGCAGCTGATTGTCAGACTTTACGCGGCTACAAGTTACAAGTAATCATGTTCCCGCGGCCAAGGGACATTCCTGCATCGACACGGTCTGAGTCTGGAGTGGTGCTCCAGCCTCTGCAAAGAAACGGATCATGGCCACGTCTCCGGACGCCGCCGCGCATGCAATTGGGCCCATGCCGGTCCTTGTCCCAAGGCGAGAAGATGAGAAAGGAGCAAGGGCCGATGGTGGATCAGATGGCCAAGCCGCAGAAACAGTCTTTCTTGCAACGATGCATTCCACTGCGCACACGTGACAAAACATCTACCATCACCTCGCCGTAACTGTTCTGCTATCAGACATGGCAGTTGCGAGCAGTCCTTTGCATCCCCAACGCACTCGAAAGATAGCATGCAAGGAAATATCTCATTGTATGCTCTTCAGAAATGCCGACCCCTTATAGAGCTTTAATTGTACCCAAACAACTTCAATCGCGTGCTCCCTATTGCTTCTTAGTGCATAAGAAACACGCAATGCTTCAGCTAAACCCAACCAATAAAGCAATAAGGGTGGGGTTGGAACAGCTTGAGGAGCCTGGGTGCCCAATATCCCTCAATTAAAGAATTTACAGAAATTTGTGTTACTCATAGGGTTCCTAGGATCATTTACTGTACTTGTTCAACCCACACTCCACCATGTAGGGCATGTTCCTTGACTGAAGGGTAGTGGCCCGCCGAAAAGTCTGGGAGGCCTTCGGGCAGATTAAGGTTTCCACAAACCCGTTATGTCGAAAGCATCATGACAGGGTTTCTGTCTAGGTTCTCTGACTACTATTGTGTGCAGCAAGCTGCGGTCAATTTACGACACCCCTGACATAAGGAGTCTAATAAGAGCAGTTGCAAGAACAACAGAGCCGCGGATTGGGCTTGGAGTTTCCGACACTTTCAGGCAGTATCGACATGCTGGGCTCGTGACTTCAACGCGCCAGACTCACAACACCCTGATGTTGGAAACTGTGAAGCCGACATAGAGAGGCTTCTCAACACATGGTACCCATTCAGGACATAGGGGCGCTAGGACCTATACACAGATTTCTGGCGGGTGTAGTAAGTGCATCTGAAAACCCACAATGCAAAGTACTCATACGTCTCCATGCGAAGAATTGAATATTGGATTGAAACCGTAAGCTCCACCTCCTGACCCTCCAAACCCTCTGACCTGCCCAGGGGCTTCTGTTGGACTGCAACCTCCAGAGGCTCGAATGGCTCTCAGTTTTATTGAGGGAATCTAGCCCAAGGTGTGGACCTCATTCACTCAGAGTCTCCTAAAAGACCACGCAAAGCTCTTTTTGGGGCTTCTGATAGAGACTGTCGGTGTGTAGAGGCTGTCCCTGATATAGCTCCTATAAGTAAGTCATACGAACTTACCAAATGTTAAGGCTCGCATGCTTCAAGCAAGGCAACCTTGGAAGTTCTGCAAGGGGAAAGCTTTGAGACCTTGGGATTCCTGACGCGCTGGGAAACCCTTCCTCCAAGGAAGGGTTGCCACAGGGTGATTCTGCTCTTGAAGTTTTCTTTGGAACCCCAGATTTGAATCCCAAGCCATATGCTAAACATGATCCCAAGGAGCCAAAAGAGGTCTGGTGCGTAGTATGGTAAAGGCGGCCCTACTTCAATCCCCTTGCTATTGCTACACTGCGGACTCATCTAGAAGATGACGTCTAGGATCTTGTACAGCATAGCCTTATTCAGGTGTTCTTGAATCTTTTGCAGAAGGCTTCCTCTGTCCGCCTGGGCATACAGCCTGAACAGCAGATTGCAAATTTGCACTCAGGGCGCCAGAACCCTACACCCTCGATCCCTAACCCCCCCAAGACTTAAGTCTTAACCGCAAAACCGTTAACCCCTAAACCCTTGCGCCTCCAGAGAGTCGAACCTGAAGTGGGACATGAAGGCCTGGCCGCATTAGGACAGTTCCCTAACCTGACATAAAGGCGTTGTGGGGTTTAGATTAATGGCTCGAGGCTCTTTTGGGATAATCATCTCCATAAGCCATAGGCCGTCGTTTGGGTTGAGGCTGAGGGTTTGCGAGGGCACTCTTCCAGAAGGCCCAGACACCTAACCTGTATGGAGGAATCCCTGTGGTCGCCAAAAGCTCACTTTGTGGGCCCTAACCCTCAACCCTACACCCCAACACCCTCCCCTTTGAAATGGACCGCTAGGGGTACCCTCACATCCCCTTGCATGGGCTCTAGCAGAGATCCCTGAAATCAAGGCCTTCGGCATCCTCCTGGGCGGCGGAAGGCCCACGAAGTCTTGATAGCGGGCGGCCAGGTAACGGTAGAGATCCCGATTCCTGAACCTGATGGGAAGCTATCAAAGTATCATCACGGCATTTAGCACTTAGGGTTTCGGATTCAAAGTTCAAGTGGTGCAACATCTAACTTGATTGAGAGAGGGATCGTCTGTTTTCAAGCAGAAGCGCTCTTCTGCAGGAAACGGCCAATGATTCCAAGTTTGGGGGACGCCTAGAGCGATATACACTGGATGGCTGACGTGCAAACGCATTCTTGATTAGAGCAAAAGACGATCAGAAAGTTGTGAGAAATGGTCTCAGGGTGGCTTGACTCGTCAGTCAGTTTAGGTGCCCATGCACGCTAAAAGCGAATGCTACACGGCCTCAGAATGGACCCCGAATCAGGCTGAATCAGGGCTCATTGAAAGCCCTGATTTGGGGAGGAGTTGGTAAAGAGAGTGGGCTTCATATTCTTGAGCGTTAACAAGCCAGAGAGCCCATATCCTAAACCGTCATGCGGTCACGATGGTACTATGATGGCCCTATTACTAATACTCATAACCTGCAAGCCCGAGTAGCCCGGTGGCCAGGGCTAAGTTGGCAAGTCGAAAGTCCAGGCACTTCCTTGGAATGTGAAAAGAAAATCTAAACTACCACAAGGTTTATTGTGCAGGGCTTAGGGGAAGGAAAAGAAAAACCAGCTATTATTATGTTGTTGGGGGGTTATATTATAGGGACTACTGAGGGACCCCTTCTTAACAAACAGTAAGCTTCCGGACGACTTCGCAGCATTTCGTCCGATCGCTCTCCACTGAAAAGTCTCCTCCATCATCAAGCAACTAGCTTACTTTCGATCTAGAGGGTGTAAGGCCTACACCATGGAACTTGGAGTTACATAGAAGTTAGGGAACGGCTATCACGGGGTCATCACTGGGCCTGAGTTAATGTCCTAGTTCTAGGGCCCCCTAACCTAGGCCCAGCGAGCAATGGCTTTCCTAATGCAAAAAATGTGAAGGACTCAGAAGGGAATGTTACAAAGGCTCCTTCGTGCACATAAAAGTGAATCTGGTCCATTGGCGCTGCAAACTGTGCAGAGTCATCGCCGTAGACCTGGAGCATTGTAGGGGTTATCTGTAAATCAGGTCATGTTTTCGTTGCAGTTTCAATACACATGAACATGAAGATGTTGTGCAAAAACTGCCCAGACACAATGACCACGGGGTTCTCATCCCTCTCTGATAACAATTTGCACCACATCTCTGTGCGGCACCATCCACGCCGGTGCCATGTACTGTGATTGCACAACTTTCCTCAATTGCCAGCACGTCACGACATGTCAAGGAAATGTAGGTAGCTGGCATCTTAGCAAACTTAATCTCCCCTGCCAAGAACATCATCTTCAGATCTTGTGGAGATCTTTCAACGTGAGGTCTCCCTCAACTGCAGCAGCAGCACTCATACTTTTCAGACACTCCCATGTAAGGATCTGGAGCAACAGAAGTTTACATGAGCTATAGTCTAAACTCCTAGTATCCCCTATAATCCTCCCCTATATACTCCCCTTTGTAACCCCCTTTTAGGAGTTTAGACTATAGCTCACACAACGTTGAGGTCAGGGAGTGGTTTCAAGGTCAAGGAGAGTTCCAGCTAATCAGTTTTCAGCTGGGTAATTACCCTTCAAAGATGCCTACACAGACCTCACATAACCCCATTTCCCCATCGCAAGTGCAATGTTTACATAAATGGTTTTTGCCTTTGAACATAGAAAAGCTATATGATCCGTGTAAAATGCAAAGCCTCTCAAGAACACGTCTTCTTTTGCTTTGAGGATACTCTGCCCCAGAAAATACTGTTCCTGTGAGCTTTATGTCCGGGTGCCCGCCTGGTAACGGCGGCACCCCCGTGGAATCCTGGAACTAATCTAGATTAGGGCCAAGTATGGCCCGGGAATGATACCTGCAAGGCTGCAACATGCAGCATTTCCCCAGAACGCAGAGATAGCTATCATGTGAAGGTCTAAGGATAATGCAAATCGTGTCCATGAAATCCCTGGACAGGACGATGCTCCAGTACCTCTTTTTGAAGGCAGATGGGCTCAAGCGTATAGTGCTGCTGCGTCTCCGCTCGTGTTGTGCGTGAGCCGGGGTACCAGTGCGACAAAGACCTGTGAGGCGTCCACGTAAGCTGGGATGGAGCGGATCGCCAGTTGGGAGTCATTCCTTGGTGTCAGGTCGAACGGTGCATTGCACTGCGGCGTTGGGTGCCTCCTACAAGTCAGCGCAAAGACAACTCCATCTGTATCTATCAGTGCTGCGGCGGTTGCATCTAGCAGTTTCCATGGCCAATTTCTTAGCGCAACCCCGGGTGATATCCCAATTTTTGGACCTGTTGTCTTGAGTGTCAGGAATCAACAAAGAGATCTTGGCTAAGGTCTTGTGGGTTTGCACGCAAAAAAAGGCTTCTGGAACTCTGGCGTCATTGGACTCGGTGAAGCTATGAGCGAATCCGTCATGAATAGGCCATACAGTTGATGGACCAAAACCGTGCATGACCATTGCTGCTACACTCTCGGTAGATCATGGTGGTAGAGTGTACTTAGTTTGGGTCCTCCTGCATCCAGTGGGAAGTAATTGAGATATCAGGTATGCAGGATCATGTAAGCCCCAAAGCCCAATAATCCCACCCAGAGCGAGCAATTCATCATCTGCCCTCGAATGATACGCCAAAACCCAACAATGTTCGCTTTTTCTTGGGGCCTCGTCCTTGAAGAGCTTTTTGCCGTTAGGGAGTTACGCTATAAGGGGGAGTGGGGTGTATGGCATCCAGAGATGGGGTGTGTAGAGCCCTTGGCTTGCTGCAAGGCTTCCAAACTGGTTCCCTTGCCCACTAACCAGAGTAGTAGCGGAGGGT